CAATGCTCTGTCGGATACGACATGCAGAAACTGGTTTCGACGCTTTAAAAATAATGATTTTGAACTTGAGGATGAAGAACGTTCTGGCACACCAAAAAAATTTCAAGACAGAGAATTGGAGAAATTACTCGATGAAGACCGATCTCAGACGCTAGCAGAACTTGGAAAAACATTACAAGTTGACTCATCGTCAACTGTTTCAAAACGTTTAAAAATGTTAGGAATGATCCAAAAGCAAGGACATTGGGTGCCATATGAATTGAAGCCAAAAGACATCGTACGGCGTTTTGTCACGTGTGAACTACTGCTTCAACGGCAGAAAATAAAAGGTTTTTTGCACCGTATCGTGACTGACGATAAAAAATTCATACACTATGATAATCCAAAGCGTAGAAAATCATGGGGTAAGCCTGGCCATGCATCAACATCGTCCGCAAAACCAAATATCCATGGTTCGAAGCTTCTTCTCTGTATTTGATGGTATCAGCAGAATGTAATTTATTATGAGCTGCTCAAACCGAATGAGACTATCACGGGGGATCGCTATCGACTTCAATTGATGCGTTTGAGTCGAGCCTTAAAAGAAAAACGGCCGTTATACGACAACAGTGTATAATACGACAAAGTGATTTTGTTACATGACAACGCCAGGCCTCATGTTGCAAAACCAGTGAAAACCTACCTGGAAACGCTTCGATGGGAAGTTCTACCCCACTCGCCGTATTCACCTGACATAGCCCCTTCCGATTTTCACATATTCTGTTCAATGACACATGACTCAGCTGACCAGCGTTTTCATTCTTCCGAAGAAGCTAAAAAATGGGTCGAATCTTGGATAGCCTCAAAAGACATGTTGTTTTTCCAACGCGGAATTCATATACTGCCAAAAAGATGGGAGAAAGTGGTCTCTAGTGATGGGCAATACTTTCAATAAAACCTTTTTGTTCCTTATATTTTAAATAAAGTTTTTATTTTGTAAAAAACAGCAAGAACTTATTCAAGGTCCTAATATTATAACAATTAAACCATTCAATTAACCAACACATGATATTTTGCATTCATCTCATTCTTTCGAAACTTAGTTTTTGAAGGTTTCACTTTTAACATGTGTGATCTGCACACATGATTTTTTTTATGTTTGTTTCTTTTTAGTGACGCATTTTTGTTTAATGGATTTTAACACTACTCTGATTCATCGAGTTTTAAATCACCCTGATTCTAAAGAAGTTTTCTACTTTAACAATATTGACAGTCTATTTTAAAAGTTTTGTAAGTTTACTTTTTTTTGTTTCAAGAAAATTAAAGGTTTTCATATCAATGATTAGTCAATGTCTTTTACCGACCAATTTTAAATTGTATCTAGCAATAGAAAACATGGATAATTTTTAGACATTTTAAACAACGCAATATTTTTTAAATATAGATAATTTATTTTTAATTTTTCTAGTACTTTATTCAACAGATTTTTTTTATCAAAAAATTATAAAATTCATAGATTTGATAGTATTCTATCGCCGACAATACCGTCGAAAATAAAATCGAACAAACAAGTTTTTTTGAAAATCTTGGGAACCGCTTGAGTAAAAGAGCTAAAATTTGAGGTGATTTTTTTTTTATTCGACACCAAATCGATCCCCCAAGTGCAAGTCAAAAAAGCCACGGGGGCAGATTTCCCATATTAATCCGGCTATACCATTTAAAATATTTGCCGCCTAAACGCCATCTTCCATTTAGTTTCGTTCGCTCTCTCTGGCGCCATTTTAAGAAAGGACTATTTGTGTATAGTTTACAGCTGTATGTTTATTTATTGCCCTGATATTTTGACAGAAATAATTTRTTTTGTTTCGAAAAAATTAAGTCATAAGATTACATGTCAGTACCATGATATTGAAACTTACACATATTAATACAATATTTAGATTAACTAAATAATAATAAAAATTAATAATAAAAAAAAAAAATTACTAAAGTTCAGCAAGATGAAAAATTAAAAAAAAAAGAGAAGCAGAATGGTTACGGTGGCAGAAAATTAAAGAAGATCCAGAAACTTATAAAAATTATTGTCAAAAAGAACGAGAGAGATACGTACAGCGGAAATTTGTTAATAAATTAAAATCAATTTACCAGTTGACAGAACGTGAAAAACGATGTCGGCGAAAATTACAAAATATGTGACAAAAATCATCACGGCTCAAGAGAAAAGAACTCTAAACCAATGCTCCGGACAAAAACAACAACGAGATGAATGACAACAACAATGAAATTAATAAAAATATCTCTAAACGGGCTTTGGTGGGTAAGAAACGAATTAAAAAAAAACAATACATCATACCAATACACTTRGAGTAGGGAAAACCCTGGCCTAATACTATTCAACTCATTAAGTTGTCTCGATTGTCAACCTGGCATAATATGTGAACATTTCTCGATGGGACAAATAAACTAAAGTGATAATCGCTTGCCATTTCCTTCTGCAAAGGCACAGAAAGTGTTGAAAAAAATTCAGAAAGACCCCGTAGTCAGGATTGAAATCAAAAAACAAAATGGTAAAATGTAACTTTTCGACGAAGTTTAAGAAATAAGGAATGATTCACTAAGTATTTTGATAAAAAATTCTAGTATAGATTAATATTTAATTATATAAAAATTATATCATTGTTTTTTACATTTATATTTGTTGAAAATCTCATTTATTAACTCATTTTAAACTTAGTTACATTCAAAGATTACTATTTCTTTTTCGTGTGGTTTGTTATCCCGGGCGCTCAGTCCTTGGACTATTGTGCCCGGGCCCCTTGCGGGGAGCACCTATCATTGTTGTAACCCGCGGGCAGTACCGTCCCCCGTGCGAAGCGCAGCAGTCCGGTCCCCCCCGAGCGCACCACGTCGAATGTTGACGGTGATCCCAAGGACATTATTTCTGACGCCCGCGATCCCAAAGCCACGACAACGAGCAGGCATGTCCCCTCGTTCGATGTCGGAGAACGGGGACTCGAACCCGCGAACTCCGGGTGGAAGTCAAGCGCTTAAAGATTGTTAAAATCAAGAAAGAAAATACCAAAAAAGTCTTCGTATCATTATGAGAGTATTATAATTTATCATTCGTTTTATTATTTTAAGATTTAAAAAAGAYTTAGGTARGTACTTTGAATATTTCATTTATTTGTCARTACCGTAACATTGAAATTTTCATTTTTTGTCCTAGTTTTTTGTCTATTGAAGTTGTAGTAGAACTGCATTACTGGCTTAATTCTGAGCATAATTGGGAAACAATAGTACCCAAAACGTAAGTTATAAAGCATTTTTAATTTTTAAAAATTTTGAGTTGTAAAAATCACAGTTATCTGAGAATCACCCATATACTATATTACATTCGTTATGTTTGTTTAGAAACATTAAATCTTAGTTTCTTGTTTTACAAAAAAGTTTTTTAAATTATATTGGGAATAACGTTTCTATTCACTCTCCATATTTGAATTTAAAATTTTTACAATATTAAAACTTATATCACGAATTGTAGTGGTAATATCGTTTTTTGATTAACTAGTTTTTGCAGAAAATAAAGTGACCATATGATTGTAAATTAATTTTGAATATCTAATGTACACGTTAGCACTGCTCGAACTTTAGTATTCCACGACCGTGTCGCATAAGCCTTCAACGTCAACACGTGATTAAAAATAGGAAGTGCCGTTTTCTACATCCAGCTAATACGAGTCTTACGTAAGACGACGAACTCTGACACCACGAGTTGAAATCCGTATCATATTAGAATAATGCGAAAACATTAATAGTGCAGAGTTCACTCGCATATGAAAAGTGTCCTCAACGAATGTCAAAAGTATTTGTTAAATATTTATTCGAAAACGTGCTACAACGCTATCAAAACAGGATTATTRTTATTTAGATCTCTAGTGTATTTAATAAGTTTTTGAGTACACTCTTTCATAAAATATATAGGAACAACTAAGTAGTGCTAAATATTTTCACATCCTACAATATTAGTCATCACATCCTACAATATTGTTAAACAAAAAAAAGTAGACGAGTTTAGAATAATGATAACGAATAAACGGTGGTAAATCAATAGAAAAATGAACATATAAACGAATACACTACAAAATTTTTAGTGCATATTAATTTTTTTTGAAATAGATTATTTTTTGAAGTCGGTTTTTTTTTGTTAAAATTTTTGTTTATTGCATTTTGCTGTTGTAATTTGCCTGATATTTTATATAGTGATGTCAGTACAATATTTTCGATCTTTCTTGGTCTATTCTGACGTTGTAATAAATTCAGGATTTTTAAATTTTTATTCTCATTCATTGATGTCTTAATGAAAATTTGATACGGCTTATTTGTGACAAAACTCATCCAATATATTTTTACCCAGTCTACTGATTCTTCATCAGAATTCTTTACCCTTTTAAAAATTGCGTCTTTAAATTATTTTGTTAGTACAAAAACTTTTTGTCTTATCTTATTTACAATAGAGTATTATCATATTTACTCGAAATATAAATTATCTCAAATGCTTTATTGATACATAACATAAAGTAGTACAATAACAAGGTACAACTAGAAAATAATAATTGACAAATAGAGTAAGACTACTTTCAAAATAAACTATCTCATCATTCTATTAATCAGCAAATTTTTTGTTGCAAATCCTAATGATTTTAAATATATTAGTAACGAATTGCTTCTGAATGAAAAAATCATGTAAAAATGTTACTATTACGGTGGCTAATTGGATTGTAGTGGTTAGGTTTTCGAAATTCTTTCCCCAAGTTGATTGACCAATAGTAGCAGGGTTTATTTCTATCGTCTCATGTTATGGAATTCATTGGATGTTTTTTATTCCCACTTTAAAAAAATTTTAACCCCTAGAAAACAGATTAGTCCCCACCACTGAATTCTACCTACCACTGGTGGGGATGTGGCGGGCATATAGGAGTCTTAAGTTCTCAATTTCCGTCTCACATTTATTTCTACTTTCGTGTTAATATAACGCTAGTGAGTTTTATTATTTCTTGAAGTCGTTTCTTCTACGGTTATTTCAACATTCAATATTTTACACGGACACCGAATCTCTTTCGACTAACTGCGTTCTTATTTTATAAGTATAATTTTGTTATTTATTTATTTATTATTATTATTATTATTATTATTATTGTTAATTACCATTAGGAATTCAAAAGTTTATTGTCGCAAATATCAAATCTAACCATTGTTCCCGTCCCTGAGCACGACCTCTTAATCCGCGGTCTTCGTAGCTTATTTCTTTAAAATCGCTTCTAATATAGATATAAATTATTTTAATGATATTTTTTGTTTTTAAATATTTAAGTGATTGCTATTTTGTATTATATTTGCAATATTTTCATTATTCGTTATTATTCATATTTTTCGTTAAATTAGTATGAATACGGTTAATGAAAAGTAATTATCTTGACCACAAAGGGTATAGCCGGATAAGTATGGGAAATCTGCCCCCGTGGCTTTTTTGACTCGCACTTGGGGGATCGATTTGGTGTCGAATAAAAATAATTCACCCCAAATTTTAGCTCTTTTACTCAAACGGTTCTCGAGATTTTCAAAAAAACCTGTGTTTTCGATTTTATTTTTTTTTTTTTATAGTAAAATTCACAACTAATCAATGATGATTTTTTTCTAGTTCTTAGGAGTCTAAGACATGGAAAAAAATATTATCATAATATTTTAACGAAAAGCCGATTTTTGGCGGACGAAAGAAAATTAAATTTTTTTTTTTAGCTTTTTTGAAATATGTCACTCACCAAAATTTGTCAGAAAATGTCTTTTATACTCCTCTACACTCAGAAATTTTCTTGAATTTTTTGAAGTGGTGGAACAATATGAAAAAAATTAAAAACTAATTTTTTTTCTAAAATCTCAAATTTTCTTTCGTCCGCCAAAAATCGGCTTTTCGTTAAAATATTATGATAATATTTTTTTCCATGTCTTAGACTCCTAAGAACTAGAAAAAAATCATCATTGATTAGTTGTGAATTTTACTATAAAAAAAAAAAAAATAAAATCGGAAACACAGGTTTTTTTGAAAATCTCGAGAACCGTTTGAGTAAAAGAGCTAAAATTTGGGGTGAATTATTTTTATTCGACACCAAATCGATCCCCCAAGTGCGAGTCAAAAAAGCCACGGGGGCAGATTTTCCATACTTATCCGGCTATACCCTTTCTACAATTTTATCGTAAATAATGGTGTTTATGTGATATGAACGTGAATTAAAAATAGAAAATTGTTTTAGACAAAAAAGTGATTTTATTATTGCTTCATAGCTGATCAGTAGGAAAATATTCGGCAAGTAAGCTTCCGAATAAAAAATTATAAATTATAAGAAAACTATTAAAAGTTTTGTTGAATTCTTTTTAAAAAAATAAAAAATAAAATCCCATTAATATGTTATTTATTATTTATTTCAGAAGAATGAAAAAACTTACTGAAGAATAAATATGCAGGTGTCAAAAGAATTGAAAACCGAATATAAGTGGAACATTAAATGGAAACTTGTAATAATGTTTCTATATCTCCATATAGGCTGCATATATGGATTATTTTTAAGTGTAACCGCACTAAATTTCTATACTATAATATTCAGTAAGTTATCACAATTATCGATTGAAATTATCAATCGCACAATGCCATGTATAATAGATTTATTCTATTATCATTGGCAGCGATTTATTGCAATTTTCATTTATAGTAACAAAACGAAAAATAAATTAAATTTTATTAAAAACAATAAATAATAAACTCTTCTCAATTTTACAGTGATAATAACAATACCGATAACATTAATCGGTGTTACTGCAGGTACTCATAGATTATGGTCACATAAAGCATACAAAGCTAAATGGCCGATGAGACTAATACTGATGATTTGCCAAACAATGGCGTTTCAAGTAAGTTCATTCACTTTTTTCCTATTTTTATATATAAAAACAAATAATTGCACAAAAACTTGTTTCCATTTCATTCCGGACAATCAAAAAACTCATTAATTGTGACAAAAAAGCGCTTTACATTACAATAAATATTATATACAGATTTGAAATATAAATATAAACTATAAATCATATATATATAAGACAAATTCCCTTGTCTTACGAAAATTGGAAACAACGTCACCAATAAATTGTACTGCGGTTGATGCTAGTAATAACTGAAATATATTTACACTATATACATATTCAAAAAGCGATTAGAATAATTATAATACAAGATTGTACGCAGGATTACCTGAATCAACAACAAGTACAGCTTTACTTGATTATAATTATTAATATATAATTATTAACTAATTATTAAATTTACAATTACTACAAATTGAAATTGATAATATTGCTTGGCGGCAGACACCATGAATCTCCCACGTTTCTCAACATGGTTTCTGCTGTTATCACGCAGTTACGACTGACGAGTGCGAACGGCCGCGTATCTCCAGTGATCCCAGAGACTTTAGTTCGTTTGATGGACACAGGGGCGCAAAATTATCGTACGCGGCAGAGAAACTTTGAAATCCGACAAATCTCGGACAGAATTTTGAAAAAGTCGACAAAAGTGTCCAAGTTCCAACTTTTGCAAGTTGATGACCTTTTTTGTTTTTTTTTTTTTTTTAGATAGAAAACGTTGACTATCCCTGCGATATAGTCAGCGCTTCGATTGCTGTACAGGAACCCCAAAAACAATAATTTTTTTTTCCTCTACTCCATTTTTTCACCTTCTAACACTATCGTTCCAGCAATGGCGGAACAATGCAACACAATCGAAATGTACACAAATCGATACTTCGATATATCGCAGTTTCCATACATATCGACATCAACGCATATCGAAAAGAATTCCACTGCACTTTCAAATCTATGCCAACATCATTGCTCCATTATTAAATGGAATGACAAGTTTTCTAGCAATTTTTTTCCTTCAATACTCATATAACGCATTACGATGCTGCAACATATAAGCAT